CTTTGCACATTTCATTATAGTAATTGGCTTTGTCTACTCGAGCTGCTCTTTGAAATCTTCTGTTCAGCTCTTTTACCTTTCCATTTCTTCCATTTGCTTTAGCGATTCTCCGCTCAAGGGCAAGGTTCAGAGTCTCTTCTGTCATCCACTTTGGTCTTCTCTTATTCTTTCTAGGTACCCTAAAATCAGATTCTCTAGTAGCATCAGAAGAGAGATCACAGTTAAGGGAGTAGAGAAAAACTTAAAGTAGAGAATAAGTAACAGTAATTCTATTTCTAAAAGCAATTTTAAGAGAGGTTATATTATCCCTTTGAGAAAAGCTATGTCTGTAAAGGAAAAAACCTTTTGGTCCTCAATTTTCAAATAAAAGCAATATTTAAGTAATGATCCTCAACCTCTAACATCAGGTAATATGCAGGACTTAAACTGAAATGGAAAGATGTACATTCTATGAATTCAGTGCTTAGTCCCTTTAATTCTGATCATTATTAGCACCAACCATTCCTTGGAAGGAAGACTGGGCAATCTACTTCCATAGAGATACCCCCTCGGAAATCCAAAGAGTGGCTGGTGAGTTTGAACTGCCAGCTTTCTGGTTAGCAGTCAAATGCCTTGGTACTACACCACCAGATCTCCTATTTTAAAAAATAGTATTGATAACCACTGAACCTCTGGTGGCTTAGTGTCTAAGCCATTTGACTGCTAACCAGAATGCTGATGGTTCAAACCCACCAGCCACTCCTCAGAAGGGGTTAGGCAATCTACTTCCCTGTGAGTTGGATCCAACTCCATGGCTGTGAGTTTGGTGGTGGTGGTGGTTGTTGTTTAGGAGCTCTGGTAGCATAGTGCCTAAAGAACTTGACTGCTTACCAGAAGGCTGGTGGTTCAAACCCAACAGCCACTCCTCGGAAGGAAGGTTGGGCAATCCTACTTCTGTCGTGATATCACCTCGCAAACCCAAGGAGGGGTCGCTATGAGTCAGGGCTGACTCGACTGCACGTAACAACACAACAACAACAGTATTGATAAATTAAGAAGCCAGGGTGTTGCAATGGATAACTGCTCAGCTGCTAACCGAAAGGCAGCAGTAAGAATCTACCAGTAGCTCTGTGGAGGAAATGACCTTGCAAACTGCTCCCATAAAGATTACATTATAGGAAACTCCATGGGGGTAGAACTACCCTATCATATTGGGTTGTTATGACTAGGAATCAACTCAGTGGCAGTGGGTTTGGTTTTTGCTTTTTTAGGATATAGCCTTATACTCCTTTAACTCACAGATTTAACAAATGTTTAAACTTCTTTGGTGACATTTCTTTCTCTGCAGCTCCCCAAAGAGAGGCAAGGTATTTCTCTTCAGAAAATAATACCTTGAAACAAAATCAAATCACACCTTAACATACAGTTGATTGGAAAACCAACTTCCAAGTTATGGATACTCCTTAAGTCTATTGAAAAGCAAAAGTGATGTGATGTTGCTGGAACTGCAATCTTCTGTCCTGAAGTTGTTTCTGAAGCATTGGATGTAGTCACTGGCTGGGCCAATGCAGACACAGAAGAAGTCATAGCTAAAATAAACATTAAAAAAAACAAAAATTGCTAACAGCTTCTCTTAAGTTAGTCAAACAATTTAAAGTTATAATCTCATTTACCTTCAAGAAGAAATTAGACTTATTTGGTTTAAGTGTATAAATGAAAGCAAGAGCATCTTAAAGTGATTTGTCCAAAATTATATAGTTGATCAAGTGTAACTGAACAATCACCTAGGTTTTAATCTCCATTCTAGAACTATACAAAGAAAGTGCTTCCTCAATACATATTGCAAAAAAGAGTAACGTATGACTATAGCCTGCCAGGCATTCACTTATTTCCAAGAGGTAACCGCATATAACTTAGCATTCAAAGCATTGTATTTAAATTTATTGAAATATGAAATATCACTTTTTAAAAAATTTGTTTTGGTTGTTTTTGGAATATATAAAATAATTTAATAAAAAGCTAAAACTTGAAATGACAGAGATATCTAGTCCAACCCTTTTATATCATACATCATAGTGTGTGTTGTTAGCTGCTGTCAAATCAGCTACAACATAGTGACCCTATGAATAATAGAGTAAAATACTGCCCAATCCCGTGCCATCCTCACAATTGCTGCCATGCATTAGTGAGTAGTCCAAGTCAAATAGCTACTGACTTGCACCTAGGACTTCTAACTCCCAATTCACCACTGATATAATTACTTACACTTCCGATTCTATCTGTAGACCTCAATGCACTTCATGGAAAATTTTGTATAGCAAGGTAAATATGAAGTCTCAGACTCTCTCTTAACATGAATGTACGAAGTATGAATCTAGGAAAACTGGAAGTTGTCAAAAATGAAATGGGAAGCATTAAAGATTGATATCCTAGCTATTAGTGAGCTCAAAAGGTTTGGCCATTTTGAATCAGACAACCATATGATCTACCATGCCAGGAATGACAATATGAAGAGGAATGGTATGGCATACATCATCACAAAGGATGTTTCAAGATCTGTCCTGAAGTACACTGCTGTCAGTGATAGGATAATATCCACACACCTATAAGGAAGACCACTTACTACCACTATTATTCAAATTCATGCACCAACCACCAAAGCCAAAGATAAGGCAATTAAAGATTTTTGTCAACTTCTGCAGTCTGAAATTGACCACACACAAAATCAAAATGTGCTGATCATCCCTGGCGACTAGAATTCAAAATAATACAAAGAAGAATCACTGGTAGTCAGAAAATTTGGCCTTGTGATAGAAATAGTGCTGGAAATCACATGATAGAATTTTACAAGACCAACGGTTTATTCATTGCAAATACGTTTTTTCAACAACACAAACGGTGGCTATATATGTGGACTTAGCCAGATGGAGTACACAGCAATCAGACTGACCACATCTGTGGCAAGAGTCATAGAAGCTCAGTATCTTCAGTCAAAACAAGGCCTGGAGCTGATTGTGGAACAGACCATCAACTAGTCACATGCAAGTTCAACTTGAAGTTAAAGACAATTAAAAGAAGTCCACGAGAGCCAAAATATGATCTTGAATATACATATCCCTCCTGCCTTTAGAGACCATCTAAACAAGAGATTTGATGCACTGAAAACCAAGGACCAAAAACTAGAAGAAATACGGGACAACATCAAGAACATCATCCATGAAGAAAGCAAGAGGTCATTAAAAACATGAGAAAGGAAGACCAAAATGGATGTCAGAAGAGACTCTGAAACTTGCCATTAAGCAAAGAGTAGCTAAAGCAAATGGAAGAAATGGCAACATAAAAGAGCTGAACAAAAGATTTCAAAGAGCAGTTTGAGCAGACAAAGCCAATTACTATAATGAAATGTGCAAACCCTGGAGTTAGAAAACCAAAACAGAAGAACATGTTCAGCATTTCTCAACCTGAAGGAACTGAAGAAAGAGTTTAGGCCTCGAGTTACAATACTGAAAATTTCTAAGGGCCAAATATTGAATGATGCAGGAAGCGTGAAAAGAAGATGGAAGGACTACACAGAGTCACCGTACCGAAAAGGACTGGTTAATCTTCATCCATTTCAGGAGGTGGCATATGATAAGAACCAATGGAACTGAAGGAGGAAGTTGAAGCTGCAGTGAAGGAACTGCTGAAGAATAAGGATCCAGAAATTGACAGAATACCCATTGAGATGTTCCAACAAATGGATGCCCCGCTGGAGGCACTCACTCAGCAATGACAAGAGATTTGCAAGACAGCTACCTGGCCAACTGATTGGAAGAAATCCATATTTGTACACATTCCAAAGAAAGGTGATCCCACAGAACGTGGAATTTATCGAACGATATCATGCAAGTAAAAATCTTTTTTTTTTTAATGCATTTTATTGAAATATAATTCATGTATAGTGAAATACACAAAACTAAAGTGACATGGATCAATGCTTTCTTTTTTGCAGTGTTGCCTCCTCTCCCCTCCCACCCCTGGAAACCAACAAAGAAAGTTTCCCTCCATATATAAACCTTTCCTTGACCCTCCACAACAACAAACTAACTACATTTGTCCTTCTGTGATTGACTTATTTCACTCAGCATAACGTCCTCCAAGTTCATACACATTATGCAGTGTTTTGCAAACTCTACATTATTCTTTAGTGCTACATAGCATTCCAGTATCTATATGTACCATAGTTTGGTCATCCACTCTTCCGCTCATGGGCACATAGGTTGGTTTCATCTTTTTGCTATTGTAAATAATGCCATAACGAATGTGAGCGTGCATGTATCTGTTCCTATCCTGGCTCTCACCTCTCTAGGATATATACCTAGTAACACTTGACCTGGGTCAAATGGTATCTCCCATTCCAACTTTCTAAGGAATCACCATATTGCTTTCCACAGTGGCTGTGTCACTTCACAGTGACACAAGCAGTGTACGAGAGTCCCAATCTCTCCACATCCCCACCAACATTTATAATTTTCTGTCTCATTGAACCTTGCCATCAGTGCTAGGGTGAGACAGAATATCTCATTGTTCTTTTGATTTACATCTCTCTGATGGCCAATGATTGTGAGCATCTTCTCATGTATTAGCTGATCACCTGAATATCCTCCTTGGTGAAGTGTCTATTCATGTCTTCTGCCTATTTTACAATTGGATTGTGAATTCTTTGGTGTTGAGGCACTGGAGTTTTCCATCAATCTTAAGAGATAAGTCCCTTGCCAGATATGTAATTATTAGCAAATATGAATTTGTTGCTATCATTTTTGTCATGTGCTTTCTCATTATGTCGATTTCTTTGTTCCATAAAATTTTCTATGCTGAGCTCGTTTTGTTTGTGAATCATGTTATCACTTCCTTCATTGCTATTGTTTTAGTATTTGCTGAATTATTTATGCTGGTTCTCTTTTTTATTTTGATGTAGAGGTTTATCATTTTTCTTTGAGGTTACCCTGTGATTTATAGTTTTCTTCCCAAATTTAGAACAGTCTGTTCTATCTTGTAGTTGTCTTGACTTCCCTACCATCTAGAAGTTCTGTAACAACATAGATTTTTTTCCCCACTTTTTGGTTTGTAGTTGTCCTCATTTGTCGGTTGGTGTCTCTGGTTCCCTGTTTACAATCTTGTAGGCTTATATGCTTTGGATAGTTCCATAGCTGGGTTGGTTTCTGGGTTATATCATCATGTGTGTTAGTCGTCAGTTGTTGTTGGTTGTTGCTTCTCTGTTCAAAGGACTCCCTTTAGTATCTCTTGTAAGGTTGGTCTGGTTTTAACAAATTCCCTTAATTTCTGCTTATCTGAAAATGTCCTAATTTCACCATCATATTTGTGGGACAATTCTGCTGGGTACATAATTCTTGGTTGGAAATTTTTCTCTTTCAGGGTTTTATATATACCATCCCACTGTTTTCTCGCCTGCATGATTTCTGTTGAGAAATCCGAGCTTAGTCTTATTGGTTACCCCTTGTAGGTAATTTCATTTTTCCACTGCTGCTCTCATGATTCTTTCTTTGTCTTTGGTTTTGGTGAGTTTGATGATGATATGTCTTGGTGTTTTTCTTTTGGGGCCTATCCTGTTTGGGGTTCGTTGGACTTCCTGAATGGATATATTCTCATCTTTCATCGTATCAGGGAAGTTCTCCTTCAACAAATCTTGGACAACTTTCTCAGTGGCTTTATTTTCTTCCTGTTCTGGAATTCCAGTGACATGTAGGTTATTCCTTTTGTTGGTATCCCACAGAACCTTAGGGATTTCTTCATTTTGTTTTGATTTTTTTTTTCTGACTGAACCCTTTCCAAGGAAGTATTCAGGTATTTGTCTTCAATCTCATTAATTCTGTCTTCCATTGCATCAATTCTACTCCTTTGCGCTTTCAATGTGTTATCTAATAATTTAGTATTAATCTTCTGGATTTCTATCTGTACATTTAGATTCATTTCTAATTTTTAATTTGTTTTGTCATTTTGTTCTTGTATTTTCTTCCAAAATTCTTCTAGGATTTTTTCTGTGTTTTCTTTGGTCTGCCTCTCAATCCTTTCAAGATACTTAAATATCATCCTTTTGAATTTCTTATCAGAGAATTTCAATGCTGCTTCTTCCTCAGGGATATGTTCTTGGTCTGTATCCTGCTCCCTTGTTTCTACCACTTTATCCTGCTTCTTTGTGTGGACTGTGATACTCTGTTGTCTCCGAGGCATTGTGACGTTTTTGTGCTTTTATTTAATTGGTGATTATATGTTGGAGTGACTTGCACACAATTTTCGTTTTCTTTGTTTTGTTTGTATGTTATCTACTCAAGCTGGGTACTGTGTGGTGCTCCTCTATTCACTAGTTGACAGCACTTATACACTCACCACCTGTTTCCTTTCCTGTTGTCAACCTCTTGTATATCCTTGCTGCTCTTGGCAAACAGAGCCTGTTCTCAGGTCCCCTGAATCCAAATGAGAATTCTATCACTTTAAAATCCAAAATGGTTGCCACTTGTAAACATTCAAAATGGCTGTGCTCTCGGTCACTTTAAATATTCAAAATGGCCACCGCTTGTAAACATTCAAAATGGCTGTGCCCTTGGTCACTTTAAATATCCAAAATAGCTGCTGCTTATAAACATTCAAAATGGCTGTGCCCTCGGAACAGCAGAAAGTTCACAGCTCAGGGTGTCTCCTTCCTTGCTGTTTCCCTTCCTAGTCATAGGACACCAGAGGAGTTGTACCTGAAGCCCTTGGTGACCGGGCCTGATCTTTAGGTCAATTATCAGATCCCAACACCACTTGGAAATATTCAGGCTGTTGGTCTCATCAGAGTAGCTGACATTCCGCAGCTCAGACCGTCTCTGTACTCACTGTTTTCATTCAGGTTTCTCCACTAGTTGGTAGGCCTAATCCACCTCTGTATAGCTCCTTTCAAAGCTCAGGGTTCCAGGATTATCTTCTGTATCTCTGTCAATTGGTTTTTCTTTTCTTTGTTGAAGAGGGTCTATGTCACTTGTCTGCCTATTCCTCCATCTTACTGGAAGTCCACATGCAAGTAAAATCTTACTTAAGAAATTCAAAAACAGTTACAGCAATATACTGACAAAGAACTTCCAGAAATGCAAGCTGGATTCACAAGAGGATGTGGAACGAGGGTTATCACTGCTGATGTCAGATGTATCTTGACCCAAAGCAAAGAATACCAGAAAGATGTTTACTTGTGTTTTACTGACAATGCAAAAGCATTTGATTGTGTGGATCATAACAAATTGTAGATAACATTGAGAAGAACAGGAAACCCAGAGCACTTAATTGTATTCATGAGGAACTTGTACATAGACCAGAAAGCTGTCGTTTGAACACAACAAGGGGAGGACACTGCATGGTTTAAAATCAAGAAGGGAGTGCATCAGGGTTGTATCCTTTCACCATACTTATTCAATCTGTACACTAAGCAAATAATCCAAGAAGCTGGACTACATGAAGAAGAATGGTGGCATCGGGATTAGAGGAAGAATCATTAACAACCTGCAATACGCTGACAACACAACTTTGCTTGCTGAAAGTGAGGATGACTTGGAGCACTTACTGATGAAGACTGAAGAATACGTTATGCAGTATAGATTACATCTCAATATAAAGAAAAAAATTCTCACAACTAGATTTGTCAAAGATTGAAGTTGTGAAAGACTTTACATTACTTAGTTCTTCAATCGACGCCAACAGAAGCAGCACTCAGGACATCGTCAGACAACGTACAGCAAATCGGCTACAAAGGACCTCTTTCAAGTGCTGAAGAGTAAAGATGTCTCCTTGAGGATTAAGGTGTGCCTGACACAAGCCATGGTATTTTCAATCGCCTCATATGCATGTGAGAGCTGTACAATGAATAAGGAAGACCAAAGAACAGTTGATGCTTTTGAGTTGTGGTGCCGGCGAAGAATGCTGAAAGGATCATGGACTACTAAAAGAACTACCAAATCTATCCTGGAGGAAGTGCAGCCAGAATGCTCCTTGGAAGCAAGAATGGCCAGACTTCGTCTCACATTCTTTGGTCATGTTTTCAGAAGGGACCATTTACTGGAGAAGGATGTCATGCTTGGTAAGGTGGAGGGTCAGTGAAAGGGGGGAAGGCCATCAATGAGATGGACTGACACAGTGGCTGCAGTGACAGGCTCAAGTATAGCAAGTATTATGGAGCTGGTGCAGGACCAGGCAGTGTTTCGTTCTGCTGTGCACAGAGTCACGATGAGTTGGAGATGACTTGATGGCACCTAACAACAGGACATTAGACGACGTGTAGCACTGGAAAAGTCAACTGCGAAGGAACTGTTTCAAGTGCTGAGGAGCAAGGATATCTCCTTGAGGACTAAGGTGCGCCTGACACAAGCCATGATATTTCCAATCCCCTCGTATACATGTGAGAGCTGGACAATGAATAAGGAAGACCGAAGAAGAGTTGATGCTTTTGAGTTGTGGTGCTGGCGAAGAATGCTGAAAGTACCATGGACTGCTAAAAGAACTAACAGATCTGTCCTGGAGGAAGTGCAGCGAGAATGCTCCTTGGAAGCAAGAATGGCCAGACTTTGTCTCACCTATTTTGGTCATGTTGTAAGGAGGGACCATTCCCTGGAGACGGATGTCATGCTTGGTAGGGTGGAGGGTCGACGAAAGAGGGGGAGGCCTTCAACGAGATGGATTGATACGGTGGCTCCAATGACGAGCTCAAGTATAGCAGGGAGTGTGGGGCTGGCGCGGGATAGGGCAGTGTTTCGTTCTGCTGTGCATGGGGTCACTATGAGTAGGAAACAACTCGACGGCACTTAACAACAACAAGAACAACTCTTAACATTAGGATCAAAAATGATACTGATTTTACTTTAAGAGGTAGCCCGAAGCTTTTCTTCTCCAAAATCCCAATGAATTCAAGGTATCTGAGAGTTCAATAACTTAAAAAAATTCCACTGAAAGAACTTCTTAAATTCCTTTTGAAGAAGCTACTATTTCTAGTTTGTAAGTTAAATTTTAAAAATTTCTTTAATTTTAAAAGCAAATTCTATTATAAAGTTAAACAGATTGCAATTACCTAAAATGAAAAATTTTCTATCACCATACATTACCGATTCTTCAAAAACAATTTTTACTTAGACCTCATGAAAGTTCTTGTACCAAAAACAAATAAACCAACCCACTCTTTTTGAGTCAATTCCGACTCAGCAATCTTACAGGACAGAGTAAAACTGCCCAATAGTTTCCAAGGCTGTCAATCATTACAGAAGCACACTGCCTCATCCTTTCACAAAGCGGCTGGTGGAGTCCAACCAACGACTTTTTGATTTGCAGTATCAATGATTTAACCACCATGCCACCATAGCTTCCTTAAAGCTCTCATAGTCATATATTAATGGCTACAAATCTGACATATAAAAGATGAGTAAAATCAAAGCCTTACCCTTTGGATTTTGTTTTGTGTCTTTATCATACTGTAAGCTTTCCACTTCACTTTCTGTTGCATCATCTTTTGTTGGAGGTGACTGGTTGTGAGGCGGAGCAGGGGACACACTTGGTGATTTTGGCACAGTAGGTGTCTTTTCCTTTATAGGGGTTAAAACTCTCTTCTTTGAATGTTCTGGTTCATGTTCATTCTGGGTTTTTAATTCAATTAAAGACTAAAAACAATTTTTAAATAAAGCAAAGTTTGCAAAGAACTTCCCTTCATAATCAAAAAACTTGATATTGCTTTTAAAAAAAAAACTTGCTTTCCCAGTTTGGATATTACTATTCTATTTTTCTTAATAATTTGTACATTTCCTTCCTTACAGCAGCTAGGACCAGCAAAAAGATGATGAACAGGAAGAATATATTATACCCAGAACTGAATATCAAAATGTACCCTAATTGATAAATAAGGTATTCTAGAAAAGCTGTCAGGCATGTATGTCCTTGGAATTATTATTCCTAACAAGACAGTATAATGCAGGTTTATATTCTTGAAAAGAAAAAACAGATATCTAGTATGATTTCTTTCACACATTTGCTCCACTCCCCTCTAAAACTAAGTGAGTCTATATCTTTTAAAATCTCACTGCAGTTTTTCTATGTCTAATTCACAATCTACAGGATACCAAAGTTGATGTGAGGTAGTAAAAAAGATGGAATGTACTGTTAACAACTGATAGCTAATCAAAACACTGTAATTGCACATTGCTGTTGCAAAAACTGGCTCAAGAAGAGTATAAATACTAAAAAGCACCAATGAACCAAGAACCTTATCTTTATTCAAGTTATGTCAACCAGAAAAGTATCATTAATGCAGATTCTCAGAAACTAGGTCTAAAAATGTTCTGTTTCACCAGAGTTCTTTTTCTATTGTGGTCACTGAATCTGAGGGGAACAATCGTTTCTACTGCATGAGATTGTTTCAAAAGGCTAACTCAGCTTTGGATAGTCATTTAAAAAAACACAGCAGTTGAAGCCACAGCAGTTTTCAGAAAGGCATTTTCTAAAATCCACTAAACCAAATCCACTGCCATCAAGTCAATTCTGACTCACAGCAACCCCACAAGACAAAGTAGAACTGTCCCATAAGGTTTCTAAGGCTATAAATCTTTACAGAAGCAGACTACCACATCTTTCTCCTGCAGAGCAACTGGTGGATATGAACCACTGATCTTTCAGTTAGTAGCCAAGTGCTTTAACTACTATGACACTATGGCTCCTCCTTTCGAGTATCATATAACTTATTTCACTAATTAAGAGTAATAAATACTTTATCATGCTAGATAACTCTTCTGAAGTTCAACTTCTGTGAGTAATCAGGAGCAAGACTGGAAAAACTGTTCAGAGAGGTGGGGATGGGGGGAAGGAGGGCTACTACTTGCCTGGGCATCTATGCCTTCTCTCTGGAGAGCCACTGACACTCCCACAGTTGGGGCCAGCTCCACAGGAATAGGTGCAAGCTTTTGTTTGGCTCGGTTTGGTGGGTCAAGGGTAAAAGCACCCTCAACTGTGACTGGCTGGTAGTTGATTTCTGTACTGCCCTTCTTGAGTAATCCAGTTAATGGTATTTCTGTGCTTCCAAGTGACTGGTCTCCGCAACAGAGATGGATCTATTACGAATGGAAAAAAAATAAAAATAGTGTTTTCTATTTTCTTCTCTCTCCCAAATACAGAAAATCAATAAAGTTATAAAATGATTCATTAAAAGGAAAAAATTATGCAGGGAACCTCATGACTGCAATGACTAAATATTAGATCCTTATATATAATTGTTAATACTAGTGATAAAACACAGTTTACTAGTCTCTTAATAATGAATCTGTTACTTCATTTTCAATTTTTCTTTACTATATACTCATCACCTTTTTCTCTTTTTTGTCCTATGGTTATCTTAGTATCTTATATACTACCATGCCCACCAATTGTCTGTCAGTTTGCAATACTGTGGTGACTTGTGTATTGCTGTGAGGCTAGAAGCTACGCCACCAGCAATTCAAATACCAACATGGTCACCCATGGTGGACAGATTTCAGCAGAGGTTCCAGACAAAGGCAGACTGAGAAGAAGGTGGGGGCCATCTATTCCTGAAAAAACTGGCCACTGAAAACATTAGAATAGCAGTGAAATACTATCTGATATATTACTGGACACCTTTATGAATAACTGTGAGATATAGTTTGATACAGTGTCAAGTTGAGTCACTGAGGTTGGAAGGCACTCAAAATATGACTAGAGAAGAGCTGCCTCCCAAAAGTACAACTGATTTGATGTGGATGGAATGAAGCTTTTGGGACCCTGTGTGTGTAATGAAGCACAACTCAAAATGGGAAGAATCAGCTGCAAATAATAATAATAATCCATCAATAATCACAACATGGAATGTATGAAAGCATCAATCCACGAAAAATGAAAGTTCCGAAAAACAAAATGGGGTGCATAAAGATCGATATATTAGGTACTAGTGAGCTGAAATGGACTGGTTTTGGCCATTATGAATCAGACAATCACATGGTCAACTAAGCCAGGAATGACAAATTGAAGAGGAATGGAGTTGCATTCATCATCAAGAAGAACATCTCAAGATCAATCCTGAAGTACAATGCTGTCTGTAATAGGATAATATCCATACACTCACAAGGAAGACCAGTTGTATTGGTTATCTAGTGCCACTCTAACAGAAAAATACCACAAATGGGTAGATTTAACACACAGGGATTTATTCTCTTGCAGTTTAGGAGGATATAAGTCTGAATTCAAAGTGCAAGTTCTGGGGGCTGGGGAGAGACCCTTCCACCTTGGGCTTCAGCTTTGCCTCCTGCTCCCAGCCCACTGAAGCTGGAAGCATCTCAACTCAGACAGCCACTGGCTGCTGAGGCTGACAAACCCAAGGTCAACAAGTAAAATGGCACAGTCCCAAAATTATCAAGCAACACGGGAGGGCACTAGTTCAAGTCCAGAAATAGTCTCAAGGTCGGGAGACAACAAAGCAGGCCACTGAGGAAGACTCAGCTAAATGCAGGATCCAGATGTGCCAAAAAGCTAAGAAACTTTTCTTAAAGCTTTTTCTTATATACTAGAAGCAGAACACTTCCCTAAAGCAGCTATTCACCTGCTCACAGTAGACTCCATTATGGAGGCTAATGTCCAGTTTCATCATGGGGAGTAACTACATCCAGCTGCCCAGCCCTTCAAAACCAAGCCCAGCTAAGCTGACACATAACCTTAACTACCACACCAGTTAATACTGTTGTTGTTGTTGTTATGTGCCATCGAGTCAGCCCCGACTCATAGTGACCCTCTCCTTGGGTTTCCAAGGCAGTATCACTACAGAAGTTGTTGTTGTTGTTGTTAAGTGCCGCTGAGTCGTTTCCGACTCATAGCAACCCCATGCACAGCAGAACGAAACACTGCCCAATCTCGCGCCAGCCCCACAGTCCCTGCTATACTTGAGCCCATCATCGCAGCCACCGTGTCAATCCATCTCGTTGAAGGCCTCCCCCTCTTTCATCGACCCTCCACCCTACCAAGCATGACATCCTTCTCCAGGGAATGGTCCCTTCTTACAACATAACCAAAATGTTGTTGTTGTTG